TTCTGTTGCTGCTAAGTGCAGGTTTCCTAGGGCACAACACCAAGTGCTCAGAGTATTGTGTGGCACATCAGCTGGAACACAGCAGAGCCCAAATAAGGAATCAGTGACTGCAACAACTGAGTAGCACAAGGAATTGCCCTCCCAAAACATGATTGCACTTCTACCAGATGCAGCACAGCCATCCCTCCATGAAGGAGGAGGGAGATACACCTGCCCTCTATTTTGGCACCATGTTTTGCCACTGTTCTCAGAACAGCAATGTGGATGCTTTTAAGATACCATAAATAATCTCAAATTATTACAGTTATAGAACAAGCTTTCAAGTACTAGAATCAAGGATGATGACTGTTCAGTACGTCATCAAAAATGCCTGATATGACTTTATAACCAAGACTAAACAAAGCAAAGGAACAGTCAGTTTGCTTTTGTTGGTAAATCACACCTGAGTATGACAGCTTCTGTTAGTTGGTGAGTCCCTCCAAGGTCTAGTAATGAGGATCACAGTCTTCCACCAAGCTGTCTGTGATGTAGCTGGATTCAAGGACAGTTTCATAGTACGTTTTTTCTGCAAATGTGTTCACTGTCCAGGCAACCACTTGAATTCCTTTTGAGGACCAGTGCCTCACATAATCTCTGTAAGGAACAAACACATGGTATTTAGCAGACTTTAGTACTGAGGCTAAAATTGAGTTTCAGTCTTACACCAGTAGCCCATCAGGAATGATATTGTGTTATCTTCTGCAAAATGCCATTTTTTGTGTGTTTTGTTCTTGTAAGAAGTAGAGGCTTAAAGAATAAAATGGCATGCAGTAAAGAAACTATCTTACACAATGCTAGAGAGAAGGTAATGATTAACATGTATTGCTTTAACTCCACCCTCGTATCCTAATAGAACGCTATGGCCTGCTGGTACATCAGTGAGCTTTGGCACTTACTGAGAAATAAAATTTTTCTGGATGAGGAAAGCTGAAACCCCACATAATCGCCACAAGAAGCTGTGTAGGCTCCAATCCAGAATGACATCCAGCATCATATACAGATAATGTTTCCAGAAGGAACTGAAGCGAGGTGTCCCATCTCCAAAGTGACTCAGCTGCCAAGGTCTGTATGTCAGTGCTGTTACCACGTTGCTGTCAGCTTGTCTCATCTGGAAGGTCCAAGCAGAAAAGATGAATGCACACAAAGCCTTCATTAAACTGGGAGCAGTTAGATATTAATGCTAGCTTGAATGTGCAGCTGTATCAGAATCCTTCTTCCCTTTTCCCCCCAGGTCCTTTTGTAACTTAGAAAACTATATGATATTGTAGTTTTTTTCTTAGATCTGTACAGAATAAGCAACTGCTCTTACATAAAAAAAAAAAAACATCACCGTGATGCTGGAACAGAACATTCAGGAAACTGAATAAAATACATGACAAATGGCCTTAACAACAATTAGAAAGCTGTGGTAAGAAAGGTTTATGTTTACATCAAAAGATGATATTTATTTAACTGCTATCTTGCACACAGACACCTAATTGGTTACTACTCATTCTACATAATGTTCATAACAGGGAATTACTGTAGGTTCAGAATACGCGCATCTAATGAGCACAGTGTGATCTAATCAGATCATGCAGTAGATTTAGCATTTAGCTTCATTTATTTTTAATGTTTTTGTAATTTCAGCAACCCAAAAGTACTTTGGAAGCTGTAAATCCTTACTGAAATTCCCAGACAGAATTCAAAAGTTACAGAAACTTTGAGGAAACATCACCTTATAAACAACATCTGGCATGAAAGAACAGACTATGCTGCTGTTATACAAACGAGGAAATTCCAGGTAGAGTTGTTTTAGGGCATCAACTGCCTGCCAATTAGAGATACACACAGATGTTATATTTACAAACACACATAAAATTTACTTTCTGCTGCAAGGTCATTTTATTTCTTTAAAAACACTTCCTGTTTTGTGTAGCAAGTCTGAAATCTCCAGGAAGGGAGAAAAAAAGGTTTCATAGCATTATCACACAAATGCCAGTATGGTTTTTACAACAGAAGTCTTTATGTTGGAGCAGGTCCAGAGGAGGGCCACGAAGATTACCAAAGGGCTGCAGCACCTCCTGTGAAGAAAGGCTGCAGGAGCTGGGTTTGTTTAGCTTGGAGAACAGAAGGCTCCAGGGAGCCCTCACTGCAGCCTTCCAGTACTTGAAGGCTGTGGCTGCCCCATCTCTGGAGGTGTTCAGGGCCTGGTGGATGAAGTTCTGAGCAGTCTGATGTGGCTGGCAACCCAGCCCATGGCAGGGGGTGGAACTACGTGATCTTTTAAGGTCTCCCCCAACCTAAGCCATTTTATCATTCTATGATTATGATTCTGTTTGAGAATGCTACTCATTGCTCTCATATTTGAAATACCCTTAAATAGATTATAGAAAAAAAAATGAAGAAAGCATAGTAAGGCTTAGTTCAAAGGGAAAAAAATAATTTATTTCCATATTTTACTAACTTGCATAAAATGTTTATGACTGCTCACCTGTATCTGCCTTCAGTAATACAAATTAGAGATGACTGGGATCCCTCGCTGGAACTGAAGATCAGACACTGGGTTCCCTCAGCACAGGCAGGGAATTTGTTTTGCTTTGTTGTGGTGATGTTGAACTCAGTAGCCATGAGTCAGTCGAATTTTAAATTGCCATTTGCCAGACAAAGGAATGGGATGAGGGAACACATTGTCTTTATTTCTGACAGCCCAGCTTTGGGTGATGCAAACAGCAGACCCATTTTCAGGCATGTTAGAGAAGGCACTGTACCACAGAGACCAGCTTGAGACCAACAAAAAAAGGCTGAAAACCCAAAGAAGGGGTTATAGTACAATAAGTGGTACCTGATTTGCATGGCCTTTGACATCAAAGTAGATTGTAAGATTGTGCTGCAAAGACTCCACTACAGCTTCTCTCAGAGTTGGTACCTTTTCATTCTGGAATTTGCTCCTGCAGAAACAGAGAACTCACTTAAACACAGTCAAGATGCACACACACATCCCCAACTACACAGAACTGTTTCCTAGGGATTCCTAAACACAGTCAAGAGAGACACTAGCATTAGGGGTTAAGCACCACTAGCAATGGCAGCAGCAGCTCCCTAATGCTGTGAAATGCTCCACAGCTACAAGCATCTTTCTTCTTCCTTCAGCATCCCACAGCTACACAGCTCTATCCTTCCAAATTCAAGGTCTAACTTGATGCTTACTTACTGAACCCACTGAAATACTGGTCTGAGTCTTTCACCTCCTTTCCTTTGCATTCAATCCCAGATGCTGACCACCTATCCTCCCACTTCCTCCTGCTTTGATGGTGTTCCTGAGCACTGAGACAGAAATGCAGATCCTGACAGAATAAGCAAAACTAAGTGAATATCGAAAAGCTTCACACAGCAAAAGATTATTCCTGATTAGGTGACAGCAGCTGCAAAAGTTCTCACTGTGTGGCTCAGGTGATTACCTTCCCAGTAACAGCCTAGGAAGATGCTACGTGCACCACTAAGGAGTCTGCACTACATTTATTTACCACAGCCTGTGTTTTGCAGATGGATTAAGCTTCCTAATTTCATCAAAAGTCAGGTCACACAATTTTCCAGACCCATCTGTTGTCCTTTCTACTGTTTCATCATGCATTAGGATGGGAACACCGTCCGCAGTAAATTCAAGATCCAGTTCAACGCCTGTTGCTCCATTTTCGGCTGCCTTGAAAGAAAAAAAATAATCACATACATAACAGAAAATGTATAATATAAATATATATATATAATATAATAATATTATAATATAATATTATTATATAATATATATTATAATATAATATTATAATATAATAATAATATATAATATAATATATATATAAATATAATCACATACATAACAGAAAATTGTTACAGAATTAATGCAGGTATTGCTGTCAACTCATTTGTATTCTGGTAAAAATTAATAAACTATTAACGTTCTTTTCTGTACACTTGGTGTTAAAGACAAACGCGGGTTTATAGATTAGCGGACATCTGAACTGACACCCCCTGAACTTCTCCTTCCAGCGCCGCCCCGAGGCTGCAGCACTGCGCGGTGCTGTGACTTTGAGCTTTACCCCAGGTGTCAGCGATCAGCCCGTCCAGACCTCCCGGCAGGGCTCCCTGCCCCCAGCAGATCGACGTTTTTCCTCCCAGCTCGGCGCCATCCTCAATGTGAGGGCGCTCTCCGTAGCAGTGCAGCCCACGCGCACAGCTCCTCTGCCGCCGGAAGCACCGGGCGGGCACGCAGGATCCGCCCTAAGCGAGGGCACCCCGGCCGGGCCGATGCCCGTCTCTGCAGACGAGCCGCTCCGCGACCTTCCCCACGCCGGGGTCAGGCTGACGACCCGGCAATTCCACCTCCTAACTTCGGCCCCGGCCCTGCGCGTCCCCCAGCGCTCGGCGGGCACGGCCGGGCTGACCTGTCGGACGGCCGCCAAAGTGTTCTCGGGGGCGTCGTGCGCGCCGCCGCGGTGCGCGATGCGGGCTGGAGCGCCGTGGGGCCGCAGGACGCGTCGCGCGCTGTGAGGCGAGGCGGGCTCCAGGCTGAAAACGTGCAGCAGCAGGAAGGGGCCCGCGGTGAGCAGGGCCGCCAGCACCGGGCTGCGGCTCAGCGCCAGCAGCGCGCCCAGCAGAGCCGTCACGGCGCCCGCCAACGCGTCCCCGCCGCACAACATGGCGGCGCCGTGACGGCTGCGCCGGGCCCGCGGCCGCTCTCCTCCGAGCGAGGGCGCCGGCAGCGGCGTCGGCCCGCGAGCGCTCGGCGGCCAATCGCGGCCCGCCGCTCGCCCGCCTTCGACCAACCAGCGCGCGGCAGCCGTCGCGCCGGCCAATCCCCGCACGGCGTCGGGCCGCGGGTCCCGCGAGGAGAGGCAGGCGGATGGCGGCACGGAGGTTCGGGATGGAGAGAGCCCGCGGCTTTAGGACGGAAGGGGTGCGGGAGCTGCGCGTGGCGCGAGGACAGCTCTGACCCAGCCGCTTGTCGCCTCGGAGTCCCTCACGCACCCTCACCGGGCGCAGCTACGAGCGCTTCCCGCCTCACGCGCGAGGTAACGCGCCTGCGGCCAGCGCCGGGTCGGCGTCGGGTCGATGTCCGGCAGCGCCCTGCCGCCCCGCGTCGCCAAGCTCTCACACGCCTGTCAGCCACGGCGGCTGTCTGACAGCCCGCAGGCAGGCTGCACGGCCACGGCGAGACGCGGCTCGGCCGCTCGGAACGCCACACAACAACCCCATCCCTCCGCGCACGACGCAGCCGCGTCCCTCAGCCGCTCCGCCCGCCGCGGTGCACGCCGGGGCCCGTAGTTGTTCCGTGGTTCCGGGGCTGGGCGGTTGCCGGGCTGCGCGCCCCACGCCGGTACCGGGCGCTTCTCCCCTGCTGGGCGGGGCGGCGCGGCACGAGTTGGGCTGCGGGCTGCGGGCTGCCTGGCTCGGGGCCGTCCCTCGGGCTCCATAGCGACGCTGAGCTGCGGCGGTTTGTTGGTTTGTTGGTTAGTACTGTCGGTGGTGGGCTGGCCTGTGTGCCTGGTGCGGGGAGGCAGGCGCGCGGGGACGAGGCACGGAGCGCTGCCAGCCCTGTCGGCGTTGGGGCGGCTCTCGGTCAGCGCAGCGCTCCGCCGTCCTGACGACGTGTCTGTGACTGAGGCTGGCTTTGTGCTCTTGGTCTGTGCAGAATTCGTCAGGAAGCTGGCTTTGCCGCTGTTGCTGATGGTAGGAAAAAGGCTCGATTAATTGAGCTGTCTGATGTGGGATTTGTTTCCCCGATAACAGCGCTTCAGAACTGAAGGTGGAATTGGTTGTGGTGTTTTTCTTTCGTGGTCTTGGAAGTACAATAGGATATGTTTATTATCCGTGCTGTTTAGCTGCATGAAAATGGAGGACTACGAAACATTCTGTAAGAAGCATCTGTCCAGAATCCAAGAGGCAACAAAAGGAGAAAACTCACCCGCTGTGTTGCACAGAAATGTCTCCCTCATTCAATTCCATGGAGTTCCAGTGCTCTCCCCTCTGGTAAGGTGTTTTTTTCTTCCCTGCCGTATAAACTGTGATTCTGTGGCTTTGATGTCTGTGTGTACCGACTGTCCTCAGGGTACAGCTCAAATGGAGCTGTATTCTGGCCTCTGCTTACTGCATTCTAAGCATCCCTAGCTTTAATTTTATAAGCTTAAGGAGTAATTTATTTTTTTTCTTGCAATGCCTGTTTGCTTTCATTTCTTGACATTTACTGTCTTTGTAAGGAGAGTGAAAATATTTGCAGTGTTAAATTGGTGAACGTTACTGCTTGGCTTTGTGTAATACCACATAGACACCCCAAGCATTGAATAATATGTGAGATTGTTTAAAAGTGAATAATGTGATAGTGGGAATAGGCAATACAGAGGTTTTTAAAAGACATTTAATTAAAACTTCTTTTGCATGTATTTGCAATTTCTAGAAATATATTTCACAAGCTCATCAGTTACATTAAGTTGTTCCGTGCTTAATCCAAATAGAACCAAGCAGAAAGCTGTGGATAGTTTGTATCATAATGCAGCTGACTTCCTTGCTTTGGTGATGGGAAATATGAGCGGAGAGCGTTCCTAACAGCAGTCTCCAATGTGAGAATACACGTTGGAGGCTGAACACTGGATTGTAATGTTTTTCATCTATAAGTGCGTGGATCTTTTCAGGTTTTGTAGAAGAAATGTGTAATCTGAGTAGAAGTACTTGACTTTGGAGAACCATTTTTGTAGATGAAGTTTTGTAGATTTAGTTTTGAATTTTGTCCAAACTGCACATTCTCAGGTTGCAATTTGGAAGATTTTCTGATTCAGATTTTAACGGGGTTCTTTTACAAGGCAAGTGCAAGCTTCATAGACCTGATCAGGCTGAATGCAAGTGGGAAGATTGGTCACAGCGCTCTGCAGGATGCCACATCCTCACATCTCATAGAGGGCTGGGAAAGGCCTGTTCTGCAGTCCTGTATCATTTGAAGTTGGCATTGTGGAATGCAATGTTCGTACAAACTTTTATAAACAATCATTTAAATTGATAATTGTTAGCATATGTAGCAGAAAAGCATTTTGTGCATCTGTATTAAAAAAAAAAAAAAAAAGTAAGTATTTGGTTAGAAAGAATCTGTTAGTCTGCCCAAGTTTCAACATAGATGGGTATATATATGTATATAAAATTTGCATTTAGTGGTATAAAGTTTGTCTCTCACACCTTTTCTGCAGCTGAGCTTTGAAAAGCGAAAGGAAATACAGCAGTATCGACAGAAAGCACTGGATCTGGAGACTTGGAGACAGAACTCTCACAAAAGAGCCTTACTGAATCGTGTTCAGGAGATTCTAGAAAACATTCAGGTAGGATTTGGACTAACTTCATAGCTTTAAAGGAAACGTCTCCTTGTGTGTGTTTTAAGTAAGGGCTGGGGTTTTGGTGTTCACTAATATAAACCTAAAATTAATAACAGTTAACTTTCAAGAACCAGCATTCAGTTAAGGTTAAGTCAGCATTCATTTAAGTACAGGTAAGACTTGCAGTAATCTGGAAATCAGAGATTTCATCCAAACTGTGTGATATTTTTCAATTTTTACTTGCAGAATAGGAAAGTGTCTGGTGTGAGTGATGTGAACACGTGGGATGCTGAGAATACCTGCCCCAGTTCAGACTCAAAAGCTTTAACTGATCTCGCAGCTCTGTCAGGTGCCAACTTGCCATGTTCTCCTGAAAGGCATCGTCCTATGCAGCTTGAAAAAAGCCAAGAGCTTTTGCCATCAGACTCTATGCAGCAAGTGACATCAAATGCAACAGAAGTAGGTAAACCAGCAGAAGAAAGTGTTCCTTCAAAGGAAAGTGAGAGTCGCTTCTCAGGAGATGCACCTTGTCCAAGGGTTGCGTCTCCTGACAGTGTGCAGAGTAAACGTGTGTCCCCTGCTTTGCAAAAGCAAGAGGGACAAGGAGTGCCACCATCTGACAAGGAAGTCCAAGATCCATATGCAGTGAGTCTTCAGAACCTGATGAAAAAGTCTAGGGAGTACATAGAGAAAGAGCAAAGCAGGCGTAGCTCAAAAAGCAGTTCAAAGAAGAGTATGAATGAAAGCCATTCAGATAAAGAAAATGATGCAGTTAAAACATCGGATTCTGTGAAAGAGAGAGGGAAGCTTACAGGCAGAAGTTCCACTGCTGTGCCACTTGATAAACCCTGTCTTAATAAATCAAATACTCATATTCAAGGTGCCTCTACTCATACAGGTATGTCAACTTTATCCAGTTTCTCTAAAGTGGATATACCTATGAGAGTTGGAACACCCCCATTGGTGGATTCAGATTCAGATGAAGAATTTAAGAACGCTTCCGCCATTGACCGTGACAGTAGCATTGTCAGGAGCCTCACAGGGTCATATAGCAAACTGCCAAGCCCAGAGCCAAGCATGAGTCCAAAAATGCACCGGCGGCGCCCAAGGCCTCTGTCAATGGGACACATAGTTATAAACAACCCCGTGAATGCTTACGAATTGAGTCCCAAAGGCAAGGGTAGAGCGATGGATTTAATTATGCAAGATATTGCTGATAAAAATAATGTGTCTGAGACAGTGCCCAAGTTCATGATGGATTTCAGTATGCTTTGCCCTAGCAGAGTTCCTGGTGTCATCAGGAGTTCTTCAGGTCCTTCTGACGGGTTGCTGGTTGGCAAACCAAACAGACATTCCTTTGGGCACCCAGAAGGCAAAGGGACGTTGTCTGCTGCAGGGGAAGGACAGGTAGTGATGGACAACAGAGGACTATATAAAGTAGAGACTGGTACTGTAGGTGCAAAGCTGAATGAGCCATTTTCCATCAATCAGTCTACAGTAACACAGAAACTCCCAGCTGTGAACGAAACCAAAGTGTCTACTTTGCAAGAAAATACTAAATCTCCAGTGAAACTCAATAAATCTTATGATGTAGAAAGCCCATCCCCACTGCTAATGCAGAGCAAGAGTGCGTGCCAGCACATGGACACTCCAAGTGTTCCCCCAGCAAATGAACAGTTTACAGAAAACAGTTTTGAAAAGGTAAAACGTAGACTTGATTTGGACACTGACAACTGCCAGAAAGATAACAACCCCTGTGCTGGGACAGTTGGGATGGAGGAACAGGAGAAGCAATGGTTGCAAGAGCAGAAATATCCCGTGACGTCGGTTTACATTGCCAAGAATGCAGCCCCCGACTCAAGTATGGCAAAAGGTAAAAGATTTGCTGTGTTTGCTTGTTTTAAACTTCTCAGTTTAGATTGATTTCTTAATATTGTATTATAATCGTTTGTTATTATTAATGCTATACTGTTAATATTATAATTAATTGTAAAATTAAAATTAAAATATTATAATTATTGGTGATTCTAAGTATGTATATATCAAAAGTGTTATTGTGTCAGTTATCTTTCTTTTTTCAGTAATCTCCTTGTTTCTCTAATTTTTAATTAATGACCAGCTCTGAATTCCAGCTTGCTACCTGAGCTGTGCTGACTGGCAACAGGACGGACTGATTGCTTGTTTAGAATTCACTGATGGAAAGAAGTCTTACAGCTCTCTGTAACAAATACTTCATTAAATAATTTATGAAGAAGCATCAGAGGAAAAGTTTCTCAGAATTTTGTGGATTCTGTGTTTATTCTCAGGGATATAATTTTAGGCAAAAAAAAAAAACACAAAACCCACGTTCTCATTTAAATGTAGAAGTTTGAATTTAGTTTTACTAAGAACATAATCTCTTATTCTATTAGATTTTAAAAAGACTACTAAAATGAAAGATGCTTTGTGTAAATTAAAAGAAAATACCTTTTAATAGCGAGGTTGCAAATCATTATGTAGCTGTTTTCTTTCAGTTCAAGACTGTGTTACATTTGTATGCATCTATCAAGTCAAGCCAAAGTGGCACAAATAATTTTATTTTACTCAACACGTGCAGGTATTCTTTTCCCAGATCCAGATGTTTTACGTCCTTATTTTAATACAGGCTCTGTTGGTGTTACTGCTGTGCCATCCACATGCTTATCCCACAGAGAGCAACGTGCAAATGTTCTGAAGGACTGTTGTAACTGATAAGCTTCTTTGCAATGCTTAATGGCAACTCGGTATAAAAAATGTCCTTTTTATTGAAGATGGGAATTACTCTTCTGAAGCATGTATGTCTGTGACAAACGATCACATATAAAATATTTAATGCTTGATTCTTTGCAATGCATGTGTCTTCTCAGAAGAGATTTTGAAGACTAAAATGCTGGCGTTTGAAGAAATGAGGAAGAGACTCGAAGAGCAGCATGCACAACAACTGTCAATTCTGATAGCAGAACAAGAGCGAGAGCAGGAGAAATTGCAGAAGGTAAAGCAGAAAGAGGAAGAAGTCTGAGCTGAAGTCCCGTGTGTTGTTGTCAGGACCCAGGTGGTTTTGAAATGCACATTCTGTTGCTTTGCAGACTTAGAAAACTAGTCTTACAATTGAACTTTTCTTTCATAGGAACTGGAGGAACAGGAGAGAAAGGGAAAGAAGATTGCTACAACAGAAATAGAAATTTCCAAAGTGAATATTAACAGTAGGATGGAGTTGGAGTGGAGAAAAAGTGAAAGTGGCTTGGTGGAAAGTGTGCAGTCTCAGCTGGAGACGATCCATAATGCAAACTCTACAAGCATTGGTAAAAACTGACTGCTAACACTAAACTAAGGGTAGAATACAGATAAATGTTGTGGTACTGACTGTACCAGCTGCCCTAGGCTACCCGTGCTGCTGTCCTAGGCCACCTCTCACCTGTTCCATAAAATTATGAAAATGTGTTGTCTTGTTTCTTTTTTTCCCATTGGTTTAGCTAATTGTGCTTTGAAATGAATTGAATATTCAGATTGCTTCTTTCCTGTAGTTGACTTCATACAAACAACATTGCTCCCTCTGAGCAGAGTTCTCCCTTGCTGGTTTTAACCTCTGTTTCTCATCAAACACGAATGGAAAACTGGTGTTTTAGCAGGTGAAGAGCAGAGGAACTTTGAGAATAAACCTGCTAAACTATATGATTTTGATTATTTATGATTCATTTTTAGGATCTATGTTAGCAGCATTAAACACTTCAAAACGACTTTCATTGAGATACTTTATGGATGAGATTTTGTGTAGCAACTTTAATATTAAGCAAGTGATTTTTTTCATGCTGTAGATGGATACTTTTTCTTCCAATACATAAATACTATCATCTAAAATGTGAGTAAAAATTGGAAGTCGCTCCGTTTCTGAATGCCAAAATGACTTCCTGTCGGTAGCTTAAGTTAATGTTTATGTGTGTGCTTGATACTTTATTTTTTATTTTTGGTTTTGGTTATTTTTGCACAGTGCTGCTTTATTTTTGTTCTTAAGCATAATGGCTGTGTGTGTACTTGCACACATAGCTATTACCTTATGGACAAAAATCTCTATGCTAAACTGTATTCTGCTGTGTGTGCAGGTTTTGCTCATGCTACATCACCTCACACCTTTACTTCAACAAGTGAAACTTCATTCTTTCTCTGGGGACCATCAGGCAGCGGAGTTCTAAAAACCTCTGTATCTAGGCCAAGTAACAGGATCAAAACCAGGTGGACCCAGGTAAGGGAAATAAGATACAGCTTAAAAAGACCTTCAGCTTTTGTAAGATTCTGGTAACTTTCTAGCAGCTGTGCAGTAGGAAATCTTACAGAGAAGTTCCGTGTCCTTTCCTATATCAGCTTGGATTACATGGTAGAACTGTATGGTGTGCTTTTCTTGTGCAAAATGCAAAACACATTTTACCTCTAATCAACAGTTGTTTCTTACTTCAAAACTTGAATCACATGACTTAAGAAATATTAGAAATTTAATTAAAGATATTTAAGAAAAAAATCTGCTTTGTTTATTCGGTGTTTAGAAAATGCTTATTTTCTTTTAAGATTTTCACTCCAGAGATACAACTGAAGTTTGATAAGATAACGGCTGTGGCAAAGGGGTTTCTTACGCGTCGGCTCCTACAGACAGAGAAACTGAAACATCTCAAGCAGACTGTAAAAGTGAGATCAGCATCTTTACATTATGCAGTTTCTACTCCTGTTTTGGTTTTTCTTTTTTCTTCTTTTTTTTTTTCCTATCATGAAATCAGGTATTTTCTGCAAAGAATTATACAAAGAATTTAGGCATGTCTGTCCCATGACCACGTTTGAGTGGTGCATTGCTTACTGTTATAAGGTTTAAGTCAAACAAAGCTGACCAGCCCTATCCATACAGTTTATGATGATCCATTGGTTGAAAAGGGTCATGCTTGCTGCTTCATCTTATTTCTCCTTCATCCCCAGGATACTATGGAGTTCATAAGAAATTTTCAGTCTGAAGCCCCATTAAAAAGAGGAAGTGTTTCAGCACAAGATGCATCCCTTCATGAAAGAGTAATGGCTCAGGTGATAAACTTTTATAAACTTATAATATGAACTTTATATAAATATAATAATATGTAAATAAAATATATAAACTTTATATTCTTTTTTTATAAAAACTGTAAACTTTTTTTTTTTTTGCTTTCCAAGGTGTTCTGCCTTTGTAAAAAGAAGTTACTTGTTTGTGTGCACTGACATAAATTGATAAAACGTGCATGGGGGCTTTGTTTAAAGGAACAAATTGGAGCTGGGTCTGTGATGAAAATATTCCAATTTCTGCTGACACGTTAAGAGAAATTTCTAAACTGTTTCATTCAGTGTTTAACTATTCTTTTCAGCTCCGAGCTGCTCTGTATGATATCCATGACATATTTTTCACAATGGAGGCATCAGAAAGAATGAACATTCTGCGTCACGATCGTGAAGTTCGTAAAGAGAAGATGCTCAGGCAGATGGTGGGTGATAGGCAAGAGAGTGTAACTGTTCCAAGATTTTAAGGAAGAGGATCTTAACTTTAGCCTGAATGTGGTCTTTTTTAGGATAAAGTAAAGAGTCCAAGAGAGAGAGCAACACTTTCAACAGCTACGCAGAAATCTCTGGATAGGAAAAAGTACATGAAGTATGTGCAGATCTCCTTTTGTGGTGAGGGGAGGGGGCCACAGGGTGATGAGGAAGAGTAGGAGATACTGAAAATAGGATTTTGTGGGAACAGTTTCTTTGCAAAATAATGTATCATTTAGAAAGTATTAATGAAAAAACCTTCATCAGGTGTGTGGTGTGCTACCACTTGTGGTAGTTGAGTTTAACTTTTGAGAGACTTCTTGTCTCTGTGAGCAAAATGGTTGGGTTGTGTTTATGATGTACAAGATTTCAGTTTTGAAAAACAGTCCCTGTGCTCTCAGCTTATGGTAGATTTTTGCAGGGTATGTTATCAATCTCTTCAAAGTGCTTAGCAAGAGATGTCTTTGGTAGTTCCTTGAGGGTGTTTTTGGGATGGTGGCAGGCATTATCTGTCTCCTGCAACACAGTTGAGTAAAAAGCAGTAATCTGTAGAACAGTTATGGCAGTATAACATGCCGATGCTGATTTTGTTGCTGTTTTTCTGGTACTATTTCCATGTAAGACTTACATGATGATTTTGTAATTTAATTATATTTCATTACTTTTGTTTCTCTAGGGCTTCAGAAATGGGAATGCCTAGTAAAAAAATAGTCATAAAACAAAGAAGTCCTGAGAGCCGGTGAGTGAAGGTTACTTTGTACATTATGATTCTTTTGAAGAATTGTCTCAGAATGTTGGATCCTTTGATCTGTGTTACTGACTTGCTCAATTTATAATAAGAATGAAATCAGACTTGGTAAGGGCTGGGGAAAAAGCTAAAAATTATTTTTTTCAATGTCAGTTCAAAAATAATTTCTTTATGGCTTTAACTCTGTGCTCAGGGTCCAGGTTTCTCTCAGATACACTGTTACCAACTCTTAAGCTTCATTTCGACACCAGTACCTTTCTTAATAGCCTTTATAATGTTAAATGTTCACTTTAGAAAGCTGTCAGAAAATAAGTGTCTATCTCTCTTGGAAAAAAGTTATTGCTTCTAGTTTGTGCAGTTGTTAATTTAGATCCCAGAAATGACAGTACTCAGCACTTGCTGTTAAGAGAGGGGCTGCTGCCTTACTGCTTTTTCTGCTATGACAACTCAGATACCTGGCATCTCTTAAAAACATTTCTTACTCCATGATTACCTAATAGTTCTGAAGATGTGCTATCTAATTATATAGTTTAGTCTACAATGACTTGTTAAAATGCATCAACACTTTTTTTTCCTGTATGTTTTATCAATGACTATGAACCCAAGCCACTTTTGAGGAAAGCTTTTTGTGGCTGCTTTTTTTAGTTTCTTTGCTTTAAAGAACAAGTGAAAACAGTAATTTTATTCAGGAATTCTAATGCCTGGCACTTTTGCATGCATCATCTGTGTTATGTAGCCTTTCAGCCATTCTGAAAGTTGCTGTTTGGAAGATGATGCATAATTCAATATTCTTTCTAAGATTTATTTTATTTTTTTTAAAGCAGGGAAAAAGTACTAACAGAAATGGTTTGTGTTTTGACAGAGTACTTCAGCCAAACCAAGGACAGAATGCCCCGGTTCATAGATTACTTTGCAGACAAGGGTAAGGACACAGCATGTTCCTAGCCTAAGGTTAAAGTAAATGTAAAATGCAAGAACACATTAATTTCTACACAGTACTTACATTTAATGGTACAACTGTTGTTTAAAGGCAAAATGATTCTTGCAGTATTTTGAGAGAGTGGTAAAGCTTTGTTGTACCTTACACTGCAAGAAAATTATTTAGTGTTACCATCTCCTTGTGTATTGTCTCCATTTACACTGTTTTGACATTTCTATTTGTAACACTCATTCCATGAAGCTTTGCTTCCCCTTAATGAAACATTTGTATTTCCAAGTACAGGCTGTAATGCCACAGCGTTGGCAATGAATCCATTTCCTGAGCAGAATTTTAAAATATGTACATGGGGAAATATTCTGCTATTTACTGTATCTTCTTAAGTATTAATTTCAGTAGGAATTGTACACATACTTAGGAGGATACTATATAGGACAGTGTAAAAGTGATTTCATGCCTAACAGTTTGCTAGTATCTTTATGTTGTTGGATACAGTCTTTCAGCTTTGATGCAAGTGACTTATTAACTCTTTTATATTTAATTAGAACCCCTAAGACCTCAATGAAGGGGGTTGAGCAAAATAGAAAGAAGGCCTCAGAGAGCAGAGTGTCTAACAAGGCTGTTTCAGGTGTGTAGAAAATTGGTGCTTGGATCGTATAGTAAATAAGTTCCAGTGTCGAGAAAAACTGAGTGGGGGATTTCTTCTTTTCTTTTTCTTCTGCACCTGCTTTGCTGTGTCTTAAATCTAACCTATCTCTTTGGACATGTGCTGATAACTTCACCATCCACTCTAAGATTCTATAAACACAGTGTATAGAATGTACTTTATAGCTCATTTGCTTTCACTCACCAGATGCCCAACCATTAAAAAGTTTTGCCAGAAATACTCACTGTAATTGTTTGGGAAACTAATAGTAGTCAAACTGGTGGGTTGGAATCATATTGCCATCGTATTTCTGTACGTGTATAACTTCTCCTTTCAGTAGGCTTTGTTTTGAAGATAGGATAGTTTGAGAAGACTTAGCAGTGGGCATTCCACAGTCACAGTCTTAGGCTGCCATTTATTCTGTAGCACCTTACAGAATGCATGAACCTCAAAGAGACAAATTCAGAAGTGGAATCTTCCTGAGCTTGTGTGCAGAGATTACTGATAGGTTACTCTTTTAATAAGTAAGTTTGATAGTAGTGCCAAACCTCTATGATTAAACCTGCACAGACGTGAAGAGAATAAAACACAATGAAACAGCAATTATTCAGTTGCACCCAGTGACATTACTGAAAAATTAACAAAGATGGGAAATAATCTCTCCTGAAATATCAGTAAGAATTTTATGTAATATATGAGTAGCAGACAAAATTAACTGTAAGGCAGTTGTTATCTACAAGTTTGACAAAAACAGTCAACTCTTCCATTTAGAGTGTTAAATAAGTTGTAGGAGAGTAGTAGTGCAAGGATGTGCAGTATTGAGTTTAGAGTTAATTTTTGGGGAACACAGATCTCTTCTAATTGATGCTGAATCTGTAATGATATATGGTGTTTTTTTACATTTCGATCTGGCATCAGACATCCAGTTAAAACATTCTCTATCACTCTTTTGTGTTGGCCACATATATGTGTTGCTTTGCCAAGCCTCTGAGTTTCCCTTAGCTGTAATTATCCAAGATAGTTGATAGTAGGTAATGGAAGGAATCTTCTGGAGCACACGTCTAAACTTCTCGTTACCTTTGTTATTATGTTTGTTGAGTAACTGGAAAGCTATTTAATGCCTTCTTTATGATCATCTTGGAACTTAAAATAGATCAATATTATGCTGTCTAGTGTGATTGTACAGCATAACCTCAGTTAGTGTTTGGACATCGCATGTGTACTGTGGTTTAATATCAGTACTTCCATGTGCTCTTTTATGAATAGATTGGACTGCTGTGTTAAGTGAGTAGGAATACATTCTGAAATTATTAGACAAGGAATGCTTGGTGTGAAAGAAATCTGCATAACTTCGCACAACGAAAAATACCTTCAGTTGAATACATTTATATGGGATGTGGTTTTCTCTATGGATAAAATTTGAATAGGGAAAGGCTTTGCAATATGTTGAATAGTTGTTTGTTTTTAGAACCTTTTGTTAGCAACTTTAAAAATCTGGTCTTAGTCAAGAAATCTTTTCTAGAGAGGTTCTTGAGAGTCATCTGTAGTGAGGCAGCAATTTCTGTCTGAAACTAGAGACAGAGAAACTGTAATTTTAAGTCAATCTATAAATAAAATGGAAATGCAATATTTCCATTTATGTATTCTTCTCTCATTTTAGTAGAACTTGCACAAATCAGAAAATGTGGACTCACAGCAGGTTTGACAGTACAGAATCATAGAGTCATAGAATGGCTTAGGTTGGAAGGGACCTAAAAGATCATCCAGTTCCAGCTCACCTCCAGAGGCTGACTTCTGCGTGTAACTATGCCAGTTTGCAATATTCCTAACCCATAGTATTTCTATTTCATTTCTTGTCCTTACTTGCCTGACTCCCAGTTAAATTGTGCTTATTAGAGGGGTAAGGAGCTGTGAGGTCAAAACTTGAACTGTGATTGAGCACCTGGGGAAGGGCTGTGGCTGTCTATGGAGCAGAGGGGATGGTTTGCACCTGTGCTCCCCAGGTGACCTTAAAGGGTGGAGTCCCTCTCCTCCTGAGATGCCCAGCTCAGATAAGGGCTGGGCACTGGAAGGAGAGCTTCTCTTGGACTTGGGCTGCTTCCTGAGGAGTGCTTCTTGTCCAGAAATCCCCTTCACCAGCTGAGTGAGTTCAGGTCTTCTTTTTGCATATGGCTGTTGGCCTACCCATGCATACTTTGCCTGGTATTGCCAAGAACATGCTAGAAGCAGTTTCACTGCTTTGTGAGCAGAACAGAGTTGTGCTAAGCAGGGCATTTAATGTGGTGTTACAAAGAAGATGATTGAGATCAGCCTGCTGCTGCCACTGTGCCTTCCCACCTCGTTTGTTTCTGCCCAGTCTGAGTAAGTGTTCAGTAACAGATATAGTGGGGCATTAGCACAGAGTATTTGGGCAGTAGCAGTGCTGAGCCAAGCATGATTTTTCTGTGTGCTTGTCCAGCCTGAGCAGGGAGCAGATGGCCTGAGTGAGAAATGTGTGCTGCCAAGTGCATTGGTGTTTCACATGGTGCTTCTGGGGGCATCAGGTTTATGGTGTGAGAGTAGCAGGGCGATTACATGACTGAGAAGAGAGGTTATTTGCCCTGGCACAGTAAAATGGTGGGTGATTGTTGTGTCCAGAAAAGCTGTAACCCTTCTCAGTAAAGCTGACTTCTTTAATTTCCTAGTCTAGATTCCCTATATTGTCTGTATCTCTCTGCATTTAAATAGATTAGCTCTATGTACAGCAGCTTAATAACTATATGCATTTTTCAGTAGTTAAATAAGCTTATCTTAGGGAAGGATAAGTTGATGTAAAATTAAACTCATGTAACTGTTATTAAAAAAAAAAATTCTTATAAGATTTAGTTATCTGGTGGGTGGAGGGAGGAAACTGACTTGAAATATACCTATTTATTTCATAATGGTAAAAATTGTACCCTTATTTTCTGTATGTGACATTTCTATATGACTTGGAATGCACACAAGGAGAATTAAGAGTAGCATTAAATCCCTGATAAGCCATCATACCTGTCATCCTGGTTCGTTGTATGGGATCGCAGGTGAGCTGAAGAACACAACACTGAAGAGTGTTGGGCCGCTGAGGATTCCTTTTTGTGTAGTAGGAAACAGTGTTCAGGTGTGAAGGGTTCCTGTGATGGTAAGGTCTCTTGGGCATTTCCAAAGCTGCTTTGCACTGTGCTGAACACAGCTCTTGGGCACCTGTAAGTGACCACTGCAAGTCTGGCAAAAAGGAACTGGAAATTCTAAAAAGCACCAGCACCTACTTTGTTATGTTCACTTAATTGCCTGAAAACTTTCTTTTCCATGGCTGTCTTTCATTTCCACTGCTCTGCACCATGTGATGTGATGTTCACTGCTTTGTATAAATGTTTGCTCTCATTGCTAGGCACTCAGTACCTGCTTGAACCTAAGGAATGCTGAATTGTGTGACTTCTTAGCAGCCTGCAGTGCTAAAGCCTTATTACTGGAAGAAACTTGTGCTGTGCATAGCGTAATATGCCTTTCTAAAGATATGTTTGTTACATGTGGAGAGATGTTTATTTTATTTTCTCAAGTAGTTCTCTTTTCATACAGCCTTTGCCTGGTGATATTATTCGTGCTGCACTTCTAATTCTGGTTGTATTTGTTAACATATGGAAACCTACAGCTGTTCCTTTGAAAAGACAGTTCAGTTTTATTAAGACTTGAGTATTCTCTGGCATATATTTCTAACTCCTTTTTCATAGGTTGTTGAGTTCTCTTTAGGCTTAACAGTTAAGTTACTATGAAGTTGTAGCTATCTGCTAATGTTACTGATAGCTATAGCTCTCAAAGGAGGATGCCTGATGCAATGTAATTTAAGGTGTGCAAAGTAATTCAACAATTCCTGTAATTCTCTACCAGAGAGGTTTTGGCAAGTGGAAACTTAATGAAGGTGTGGTGAGTGCAAGATTTGGTCCCTATCTTCCGTTTAAATCATGTAAGAGATCTGCAGGAAGACAAGGCTGCTGTTGTGGCAGCACATGTGCGCCTTGTTTTGGCCACCTCACTGTGTCCATTTCTCTGTTCTGGAGCCCTCTTTCTCAGTTTCAGCCAGGACTTCTTTGCATTTTTAGCTGCTTGTAGAAAGTTGGATCACATGATGAAGGAGGAAAGGAGTTGTGTGTGAAGGGAAGGAACTTTGTATTTTGCCAATGCCTGACACTTGCTTCCCTTTTGCTTTTGTGCACTTTTATGCTGATGCTGAAGCTATTCAGACTGGCAGCTGCTATGCAGATGGAAGAACAGATGCAACAGAAGAGAGATCTGTGTGTATGGATGTCTGAGGAATAGAGTTTAGGCCAATGTCCCAAAGAAATCAGAATAAAGATAATTAGAAGTAACTGGAAGACCTGTAATGCTAACTTCCTATGCTTTGCATTATTCTTGCTCTGTCTCAACTTCTCTTTGTTTATTCATAGGGGAAGTGGAAAAGGAAAACTTGTCTTAAACATTTGACTTTGTATTGTATTATTAAATTGATATTTATATATCATTTTTGAAATTACTTTAATCACATTGTCTTGGTAAAATTACAAACAGACTTATCTTAAAACTTCTGAATTATAGTTGTAGATGTTTTAGAGTAGCGGAAAAATGGCTATTTTCTTCTTTGATAAGTGTTCTGTAATATGTTGTTACTTGCAAACTTATAAGTAGTTTTATTAACCTGTTTTACTTCAGCATTTGTAAGGCATTTCAAATGTAACACGAGGAAAACTCCTTTTAAAAGCAGATACTAAATACATAACAATGCCTTAATGTTGTATTATTAGCTATTTCTGTTGGATAATCTTGTTGCGAAGGTCAATATTATCAACTGTAAGAGGTACTTTCTCCTTCTGTTTTTAGGAGCATATGCAGGAAGAACCCAAAGAAAGAAGCCAAATGTTGTGACAATTTAAGACGACAGCACTCACTAGGATGAACAGGCTGTTCTTTGATGGTATTCTCAGCACTGATCCGTAAATGCATAGTTACTTTTTGAAGTGATAAGCCTCCTTTGTCTTTTCCAGATGAGGACATATTAATGCAATCATACTGAAGTAATGAAGAGCTGTAAAGCTCTAACCCTGTGTGAAAATTGCATGTTAAAAGTTGTGTACGCAATAGTGTGCATATATGAGATCCATAATGTTATTCAAATAAGACCACAGAGCATCATTAAGTTAATTTGGGACATCATATGCTCTAACTTTGTATCTTCAACATGATTTTTGTATTATTTAAGATGGCAATTTCTCTGTATGGTTTGCCACAATAAGAAGTCATGCACATGTAGTTTTAGTTTCTCACCATATACTGAAAGCAGAAAGGAGAAAAAAAAAAAACCTTAAACAAAATTGAACTCTTCAGTCTGAATTTGTCAGCAGCTGTTCTGAATGTATTTGTGTGAATGCAGTTACATCGCTTCATGTATTAATGGCCTACGTTTGTTGCAATTGTGCTGAGGTGGACAGGCACGGATCCAGCCAGGTGTACTTCCATTCTCTATAGAAACTGCACATTTATACACATGATAAATCAAACCACTGTGCTGGATGTCCTAGGATTTTTTTTCCTTGCTATCTGTGGCATTTCCTTATGGAAACAGCTTTTGGGCTGGATGAAGAGAAGCGTATGTTCAACAAAAATTTGAGAAGGCAAGATTTCAATTGTTTTACCGTTTCAGACTTGCACATAACTGTCTAATAATTAATATGCCTTATGTTTTGTTTATGACAATTGCCATTTTTCTAAGCAGTTTCTGTTATACCATTATCTAACATCTCTTATATTGAAATGAAGTCATGTTTCCTGATTTCAAGGGGAAGAAAATCCCTACCAAAATCCTGCAAAAACACCCGTCCTTAAGAAAATGGAATGCTGAAAGATGCTTGTATTTTGCCTTGATCATCATTCTGATGGGTGTTATGCTTCAGCCTGAGGGGAGCATAAGTCTGGAAGTTTATTTATTTATGTCTCTAAGGATACAACTTTCAGACAGGATAGGTTGTTAACATCAGAAGTGAGCAGAGAGAAGCTTGGCTGTTGCAGTCTGTGCAGTGCTGTTTTTTGGTTTTCTGTTAGAGTAGTACTAGGGAACTGATCACTTGAAAATGAAGTTATTTTGATTCCTTCCCAGTGTCAATACAGTGCAACACAGTGGGGCCTGTGTAACATTTTCTCACTGATATGAGGGGAAAAAGAGTGATCAATAACATAATTTGCAACCACTATAAAAAAAAGAACATTAACAGTAGGATGAAGAGAGTATCTGCAGGGACAGTGGTGAATTAGCTGGCGTGGTTGTGGCAGTAGTTGTGAGTTGCATCAGTAAGTCTGCCTTCCACAGCTGGTGACAGTGTTAAATGTTTCTAACAGGTGATACCAAATTGTATACTTGGAAATCTGAGGCAAAAGGCTGCTGAAAGGCTTTGGAGGTAGATGCTGCTTGGCGGCTCTGCTGTGGCTCTGAGGTGGGTTCCCTGCTGGTGTAAATGCAAAAGCTTACACCAGTAAACTACCTGCTGCCCTCATATCAATTTGGTGATTTATTTTAAGAAAAAAATTGCAATCCAAAAAATGCCTGATGTGTTTCCTGCTTATCCAGCAGTCATCAAATGTCTGCTTTGGCTCCCACCTTTCCTGTGTTTGGATTATCACAGGAAATGGAAAACATCTGAGGGAAAAGGACGGAGTGTGACCCGTGTCACAGGTGACACAGAAGCCTGCTGTGGCTGTATCAGTGCTAAGGATTGGTGTATTTAAAGGCTGTTTTATATGCTGTCTGTATTGTTAGAATAGGCAGTGTGTTGATATAAAAGTAGTGTTAGTAAATGTGAGTGCTTACCTCCAGGTTTCACATCTGCACCTCTTACTTCCAGCATGTTTCTGGTCTGTGTAACAAGGTGTTGTACTGCAGTTGTTTGTTTGAACTTTCATGAGGCCTTTCTCTTGACAAGTGCCAGAATTTGGTTTTGTACTTAGTATGTTTATTTATACATATTTAATTTTATCTGATTTTATTTTGTGTGTGGTTGTAATATCATCATAAAAGCCTATTTATTTTTGTACTTTCCATTTTCACCCGGCTTGCTTTTTTTCTTAAGCATACTACACAATAAACTTGCAATCTTTAAAAAGACTTCCATTTTTCTAAATTGCTCCTCTGGGTTGAAAAATCCTGCCATGTAAAATAAAGCTGTTCTCTGGAGCTTTGTATTTTTATTTTTTTCCCTCTGTAAGCAAGAAAGTTGGTTTAGGACAGCTTGCTCCTGGCTTGGTAAGGTCACGTTGGGTATTTTGATGCTCCTTATTCAGAGGAAGGAGTGGCTAAGGAGAAGCAGTGCCCAGGGGGTGGCACTGCTGGCCTGCGGCACGGCGGCTGTTGGGGCCGGGCTGGGGGTGCTGCAACGTCCTACAGGGATCTCTGTGAATTCAGTTTTTTCTGCCAACAATGGCACTTCCCTTTGGTATCTGTCAGAGCTGCCAGCGGTAACTGTGTTGTTTTGGGAAGCAGCTGTCCTGTGTGTTTGTGTGCATTCGGCAGTTCCCTGTTTTCCAGCACTACTCCCCCATGTCATTAGAGGAATTCACTTTGTATGTTGATGTGTTGTGAGCGATACGGGAATGTATGAGCCGCTCGCTTTTACAACTCTTACTAGTGCTATCCAGGGCAGTTGTATCTACTACATATGTACTGATTTATATAAAACTAATCAAACTACCCAATAGTAGAAAACTTGGTACTAATGTCAGTATGGGCACTTCTGTGTTCAGGCTGGTAGCATTCCTGAGTCTTGACTACTTGGGGTGCTTACCAGAACAATTTAGTTTCTAATGATAGCCTGACATAACTGCACTGCTGTTCTAAATTACCTTGTTGCTTATACTTAAGGCAGACTTCATCCAAAAATCCATCAGAGAGGGAATTTCTGAGATAGTAAACCTGTTTTTCCAGGTGTCGCCTGCTAGTTGGTGCTGCTGTGTGTGGTAGCTTTAGTAGTAGAGGTAGATCCACTGTATCTTCTGGTGGTGTAATGAGAATACCAGGAATAACCACGTCCAAAGAGTTTATGCCTTCATATGCAACTGTCATTCTGCCATTAATGTTTAAAATAATGAGTTGGACTAGGAGCAGGGAAGTTTAGGCAGCCCAAGGGATCTTACTGACCTGATGGGCAGAGGAAAAATTCCCAAACTACAATCATAGATATGCTTCATATTCTAAGGGCTTTTTTAGGAAATAGATGAAAGCTATCAGCTCCTAAGCTAATAATAAAAAAATACTTGGCTCAAATGCAAATCCATTTCTTATTTATGCTCAGGACTTCTCTGATTTTTACACTTGCACCAAAAGTGAAAAGTTTTCTCTAAAAATAAGTAAAGAACTCTGCTTGATGGCTTTCACCTCATCATACAAGTAGATCTTCTTTCCTAGTGCTTGACGTTCTCATTCTCTCTGAAACATGTCAGAAGGAAACCACTGGAACTATAAGGACAATGCTGGGAGAATTGCTCTAATTTGAAGATAAGCATTTCCACTGGACAGCCAGGAAATTCTAAATTATTCCATTACCCTTAAGACTTTGCTTCATAGATTTCTAATTACAGACAAATTAATATTTGCTAATAACACAGCACACTACTGTCCCCAAACTGTAGTTCATAAGTTTAATGTAATTGGTCTAGGGACCCATATGAAACAGTCAAATTTACAGAGCTTTCAATTACAAGCTTAATAGAAGTGTCTGATGTTCAAGAAACCTTAATGATCAGCAGTAGTCTGCTAATACTGATAAGGTGTGCTTCAGGTTTAAAGTATTTAGTGGAGGAACACCTGTGTGTATCGTCAGAGAACAGATTGGTTTATTGCTGCTTTGTGTAATTCTGGGTAATGAAGAGAAGCAGAAAGCAAACAAAAAGGGAAATTAATTTCAAGCCATCAGGTTTTATGTTACTCAGAGTGAAATGATTTGAACAAGAATGCACTGAACAAAGAATGAAAATGTTAAGCTTTCTTGCTATTGGAAGGTAATAGTCCAACTGGTTTTTGAACAAGCCTGGTGATGAATAGGGGATTTTTTCTATCTGCAGAATTTGCATATAGCCTTAAATCTTGATTGTGATGAAACAGTTGCGCCCATATCAGCTATTTTAAGATCAGAGGCATTTCATTACAATGGAATTCTGGCACTTAGCTTTATGCGGTTTCTGCTTGGTTCTTTGCTCTGTCATTTTAAATTGAGTTTCTTTTGATCTGTGTAAATAAATCAGAGAGAGCCCCGAGGCACCAGTGCAGAAAGAGAGTATTTCTTCTGCTGTTAAATTTGAATATCACTGCTGTTTCTTTGTACTTTTAGCTTGCCACCGCTGGCTGCAGAGCTTTCCTCAGCAAGGTCTGTTTGGTACAGATGTGAGACCCAATCCTTGTTTCCCCCATCCTCATGTTTGCCTTTAGTTCTGTAGCCTGTGTTAAGTGATGTTTTCCAGCACTGGCAGCTGCCCTGTGAGAAGTGAGGGGATAACTTAAGCAGTTTAAACTGTAATTCAATTGTATTCAATGTATTATTGAATAAGATGTTTAAGGAGACATTTACCAGGGGCTGTAGCTGTTCTCAGTTGTCTGAATGGCTCAGTCCCTCCTCCTTAAGTGCCTCTCTGGCCATGCATTGCCTGCTGAGTTGCTGCTGAAAAATTGTATAATGATACTGACAAAGAAGTATTACTCCATAAACCAGCTCTGGGCAAATAAAGAGCCTGAGAGCAGTTATTTAGAGGCTGATTTCTTAGTCACACATTTTTACCAAGAGGGGAAAAAAAAAAAAAGCAATAGCGCTGTTACATAAACATTCACTGCAAATAGTGATGTGTTAAAGGCAGGTAGAGAACAGGGTACCGAATAACAGAAGGGGGTTTTCCACAGCAGTTTTTACCCACAGTGTGGGTTAACTTCTCCATTCCCAGTAGCCTGGTTGGATCCCTGCTGCTCCCGCGGAGCAGGGGCCGCGCTCGCGTTCCGAACTCGCCGTGCCGATGTGCTCCGTTGGAACGCAAGGCGCGCAGAGCAGGTGCTGCTATCCGTGTCTCCTCCAGGAGATGGACGTAACGGGGCAGCAGCGGGATCTTGGTCACCTTTCCCGTGGCTGCAGCGAAGATTTGGGCTGTAAAGGACAGCACAGATGGGGACTGAAAGCGTGTCGGTGTGAACGTGGGTTCGTCAGTTTGGCTGAAACGCAGAGGAAGGCAGCGGAAGCAGGTTGCGTTTGCTTTTCCTTCCCGTAACGAAGGCAGGGTTTTTGCGGCACCGCGTTGATTCGAGTCAAGCGTTTCATTTGCACGCCTACTGGACGCTCCTCCGCACCCGTGAACCCGGGCCGCCCGTGCCGGGGCCGACGTCCCTCGGTTCCAGCGTCCGCCCCCCCGCCCCGCCTCCCCCCGCCCAGGGCCGCCGCGGTTTCCCTTCCGGAGTCACCGCCGCTCCCCCGCCCGCCGGGTTCGCTTCCGGCTCCGCGCGGGGCCGTTCCTGGCGCCGCCGCCGAGGGGAGCGCGGGGCCCATGGAGCCGCGGTTGTGAGGCGCCCCCGGCCCGGGCCCGCGGCGGGAGCCGGGCGGCGGCCGGAGGAGATGGACAAACTGACCGTCATCTCAGGATGCCTCTTCCTGGCCGCGGACATCTTCGCCATCGCCAGCCTGGCCAACCCCGACTGGATCAACACCGGCGAGTCTGCGGGTGAGGAGGCGGGGGCCGCGGGCGGGCTGCGGTGCTGCGGTGCTGCGGGGCGGGGCCGGCTGCTGCCGAGGGCTTCCAGCCCAGAACCCTACTCTACTTTCTCTAAAACAGGACGAGGCGCGCCGCGCTGATGCTGTCGGTAGGAGCGGCCGGTCGCCGCCTGTTGCTGAGGGCGGCAGGGGCGCGGGGCGGGCCGGTCCTGCGGGTCTCCGGAGCGGGGTGTGCTCCGAGCATCCGCGGAACGGAGCCGGAGGCTTCTGTCCTGTGTGCGAGCAGGGTGCTCTAAAACTTCCTGCTGCTGCCTCGCCTGATGCTCGGCTTCTGTAAGAGGACTGAGCTGTTCCAAGTGGAGTCGTCGTGTCCTTTGGTGGAGTATTGAAAGCCTCGGCAGACAGAGGCTGATGGCAGGGCGTTCCTCTGACCCGCTGTCTTTATCCGTGTGGTTTGGCTGCGTTGTTTCTGTCAGTCCAGCCTGGAACCTGGCTGGTCCTGCTCGAGTCACTTCACCAAGCTCAGCGCTCAGCACTCCCCATAGGACGTCCCGTCCTCCCTGTCTGTTGCGGTGATCTTCCTGCCGGTGGCCCTGAGGAGCGGGGCTTCTCTCCTCTTACATCCCCACAGCAGTGTGCTGCAGTGAGGAGCCCTTCTGTAGGCGCTGGCAGTGACATAAATTAATCCTTGTGATAAACATGTAGATGTGTCTGTCCCTAGATCCTACCCCGTGTGTCAGATGTTGGTTTCTCTCTGCCTGTCCAGCAATGAGATAGTAAAATCTGTCTTGAAAAAATTGCAGACCGTTAATATCTGTTAAAGGAAAATGCTTAATGTCTGTTTATAATACAAAAACAGCTCCTTGATATAACGTGCATAGAAATCATGAATTCTCAGTTACTTGATGGGTGATTGCTTGACAACCACCTGCCATTCCTATCTTTTAGAGTTTTTAGGATTGCAGACAGGTTTTACCTGCAGTTAGGCTGGCAAACATGAAATCTGTATGGATTTTCTGCAGCACTTTTCAAATTGTGTTTTGACAGACCAGTGACTTATTTTATTGCCATCTTTGAAGCCAAACAAATTGTTGGCTTTTAGAAATCATGAAGGAGAGGTGGCTATCATACCATGGCTTCCTTAATGGCTGTTTGGTAGATCTTTGTTGATGTGGGATTTGAATTACTCCTAAGATTTCTGTCTAGAAGCATCGTAAATATGCATTTCCAGTGCCTAGAACTGCTGAAAGGAACCTTTTGCCCAAACTCAAAGGAAGTGCAAAGATGCCCATTCACTCAAGGACTTCTGTAGTAAGCACTGTGATACTGAATGATGAGGTGGCTGTTAGAGTGCCATTCAGTAGCCAGAGATGCTGTGGGGAAGTACAGCATAGGAGGACAGTGCTGTGAGGATGCTGCCCTGACTGTATCTTAGCCCCAGCTGCTAGCAAGATGCAGGAACCCTTCAGCACACAGATCCAACCCCTCCCAGCCGCACAGTAGGTCTTTTAAAGTGTCCTGCTCTCAGCTGGTGAAAGGAGCCGTTTCTTTGCGTAGCCTCTTTGTCCTTTGGTTCATCTGCTGTGGGAGTAATTCTAGGTGCTGCCTTACAAGTCAGCCTGGTAGCAAGGAGGAAGGGGAGGGATCGTGTTTCCTCGCTTGGCTGCTGCCCTCAGTCCTGAAGGCACACGGAGCAGCCCAGCCTCAGTGCTGCAGCTGCTTGGGGACTGCATAGAGCAGAGCTCTCAGCAGATGTGGGGACACAGCACTGCAGCAGCTCCATCACAGCCCTCTGCAGCCACTGAGACTGGAAACCGGGGCTTGGGTTTCAGGAGAAAGATCCGTTCTGGTCTAAATGCAAAGTAATGCATACATCATACTTCGTTGGTGCTGGTGGTTTTTTCTGCTAAATGCGATATCAAAGTAAATTGGGTGCTTTAATGTTGATTTTGTTTTGCTTTTCCTGAAAAATGTAGATAGCTTTAAATGTTTCATTTAAAGGAGCTTATATTTTCGGGAGAACAGTATGGGGGAAGGGCTGATGTGTCTCCCAAGTTTTACTCTTATAAGCAGCTTTATAGTAAGTTGAAAACTGTTGGCTGTAAAAATTCCTCTCTAGCTCTGTAATTATGAGGGAACGAGTGCCATGGAGGGCACTGAAGGTTTCAGATGCTTATAGGCCCAGAGAGGAAATACACCTCCATGGAAGTGGATCTAAGTCTTTGTTTGGTGCTCTTCCTCTACGAATTTTTGCAAGAATCATTCCTTATTTTAGTTTGCGGTATTTTATACATCTTTGAGCTTATAAAGGAAAGTTGGAAAAGGAGATTTTTCTCTCACAGAGCTCTCAGTTGTACCTCTTGTATAACAGTGGTAAATGCCCATCTGGGAACCCCAGCATTCCTGTACTGACATCCTTTTATTCATAAACTGGTATCCTGTGTGAGAAATAAGGGCATAAGTTGGCTTTAACGTAAGTCAGTGCCTATAATCTCACTCATTTCACTAGTAATGAATTTTGCTCCTGTATCTGTATGCTTCTGTAATGAACTTCAAAAGCTGATGGTGTGTCCCCTTTCTGTGTGGGATGGTCTATCATGGTTTTGATGTTTTGTATGGGAGAAAGGGGGTGACAGGTTATTAAGCAGCAGTGCTCAGTCCTTTTGTGGACAAGACACAACCAGCACCCACAGTTGAAACAAGATGTGGTACGTGTTTGGGGGGGTTGGTGGTTTGGAATGCTTTTAGGGTGGGTCAAATAATTCAGCAGGAGATTTAATCAAATAATCCATCTCTTCAGCAAGCTACGCTATCAACTTGTTTTGTGTGCCTTAGTTATCCCTCTCTATGGAGCACTGGTGATTCCAACTTATAGTACAAAGCAGCTATTAAGTAAAATTGAATGTCAGAATTTAAGTGTGGTGGACGCAAAGCAAGTGTTTGTTGCATCCTCTTATATTGATATGTGCATCGCAGTGAGACATAGGGTAAAATCTTATGGCTGCTTTGTGTACACGCCACAAAGCAAGTTTGGATGACATGAGCGCTTGCTAAAAAGTGATCTGCAAAGCCATTGTGAGCATCAGACGTGTTTAAAGTCAGGTTCTTGGTTATCATGTCCCAATACACACTTTCCTTTGGCTGCCCTAGGTGGATGATGGGCAGAGGCAGTGCTCTGGCACACTGCTGAGCAGGGCAACAAATCCCAAGGTCTTGGTGCCGCTGAGAATGCCAAGAGAAGAACCACACAGAGCACATAAGAATTAGTAAGGATTGGCAGAGTGTAGAAACCCACGTCCTGAATACTGCCTGTAAGCAGGGTGCCCCTGCTCTGAGTGGCCCCAACATCCTCAGGATCTCCATCCATTCCCTTTGACAGCTACATGTCTTCCAGGCAGTGCCAACGTCTGACAGAGCAGAGCATGTGTGCTGTGTTGGAGCTCTGTCACTGACCAGGCCTTAAGGCACAAGAAAAGCGAGCAGTGAGGCATTGTTGTAATGAATTAACTTTGTGCTTGCTCAACTTTTAAACATATGGAACTATTTTATGTGTAGGAAGAATCTCATAAAAGAGTGCTGTGTTAGCCTGGTTACTTGAGCATGCTGGAGCAGGGAGGAGAGAACTGCCCGGTTTTGTCCAGAGGGGAACCGAGTTTTTTTGCATTTGCTTTTTACTGTACAACTGAATACTGCTTCTGTTAGGCAAATGTCTTGTTTTCTCTTTAGTGTGATTGTATACAGTTGTTAGTTTGTGTCTCCCCAAGTCCTGTTGAGTTACTCGGTCTCTAATGAGTGTTGAAGAACTGGGTAAGAAATCCATAGTTTAAGGAGCACAGGTCTGGGAGCCAGTAACTTGTGTTCTCCTTCCAACCCGAGCTCCTGGCATGACTGAGGTTGGGTGCTGGAAAGTTGTCATGGCAGGGCTCTCAGTAGAACAGAGGTGCTATTCTTCATCATGAGAAATTGGAAGCAAAGCTTTGATTTTATTCATTTTAAACCTTGGTTTCCTATCATAGCTTTGCTTTGTTAAGCAGAGGATAAATTTAAGAGTAACTGGTACTGCATTTGTCTTTTTCTGGTAGCAGGTATTTTTGGTGGGGTACTTGAGTTTTACGTATTTAGAATAACTTTCTCTTGGAAGTATTCATCTCACAGCCATGTGTACGGCTGCTGTAGAACTGGATTGCATTCAGTGGTGTGGGTGCAGGCCTTGGTCTGCCCTTTGCTTTCCTCCAAGGAGCACATCATTGTAAATCTGCCTTATAAACAGTACTAATTGTCATAAAGATGCATTGTTGAGGCTTTGGGAACTGTCTGTGTTCTGCTAATAATAGTAATGGTTTCTTTAAATCAACTTAGAGCTGCTTTCAGGCATGCTTACTACATTCATTGATGTGATACGACAGTGGGATTAACAGAAGTGTCACTTAAAATATGAATCTTAAAAGTAAGGCTGCAATGCTATGTACTGCAAATCAGGGATTTAAAACTGACATCTGAAAAATGGAATCGTGCTAATGACTGAGGCTTATTCAGAACAGTTGTTTTGCTTAGGTTCCAGCCAGCACTTAGATGCAAGCAGCATTATGTAAACTCAGTTTGTACTTTTGCCAAAGCAAAGATCAGTAGGTCAAACTCTTAAGCCTGACCTACTTTTTTTTTAATAGGTGGTACTTTTTTTAATAGGTACTTCACAAACTCAGCTGCTTCCTACATGCGTTTTTGTTAGTCTTGAAGCAAAGCAGAGAGAACTGACTTTTCTTGCCTGCTGCAATGTGGTGATTAGGATTTACATCGCATGTGGGAGTTCTTCAGCTAGTTGTGGTGTCCTCTTCCAGATGTTGCCCACGCCTGTGTATCTCAGAAAACAGTAACTGCAGTAATTCGTGGCTGAGGAGGAGCAGTGTGTAGAGGTTATGTGCTGCTTTTGAATCAAATGCAGATTGGTTTGTAGTGTGGTGAAACAAATACAATGTTCTTGTACAGAGTAATACGGGAGAAAGAGAAATT